CCATAGATTTAACTTCCGTCGTGTCAATGTAGGTTCACACATTTTGACAAGTGTGACAAATTGATGGTGATTGTTGATAGGGCAGTATAGATTTCCTAGGACACTTCTTCACCCTCCACTCAATTCTGCTGTAAGTCTACAACTACTTTAATATAGGTTATCTATGTAAAAGTGTTATTACATGTATACATAATAGGAGTTTGGAATATTACACAAATAAATGACAAAAGCTAACTTTTTATGTTTTCTGTCATTTACATTGGCAATCTCACATCAACAATTAAAAATCTTTTTGAAAATAGAATTCATAAGAGGCACATTAAGTAGTTCCCTCATTTTAGCTATCAGAATAGCATTTGAAATATGGAAGAATTTAAACATAACAGAAATTCCAGCTCAAAGAAAGATCCTACAACAGAGATAATTACCACGAACAAATCATTTCTTTTCAACTTTCCAAGTTTTCTAAGACTGGATAATTGAAAGCAGTTAGTTACATACTCAATTCACTCACATTTCAGCATTAAACACAGAAAACTGAATACATGTCTTCAAAAAGTTGACATCATTCAGTTTTTGATATTTATTCTCTTCCTTCCGTCCTTCCTTTAATTTTCTTTCTTTTCTTTTCTTTCTTCTTTCTTTTTTTCTTTTTTCTTTGTTTCTTTCTGTCCTTCCTTCCTTCCTTCTTTCTTTCCTTCTTCCCTTCCTTTTTTTGCAGTGCTGAGGATGTAACATAGGGCTTCATGCACTCTAGGCAAGCACTCTAGCATTAAGCTATTCTCACCTATACAGCTCATTGCTAAATGTCTGGAGACTGAATTCAAATCCAAAGTACTTCCAACTAATAAATACATTATTCTCATTTGTTCTAGTTTGGAAGTCACCTACTACCTCCATACTTGAAGAAATATGAAAGAGATTTAAGTGTGCTATGGAACAGTTACAAGTAAAGATGCAGTGGCACTTTAAAGACTGTTCAATGCCCCTTGTCACAATTCCATTCTGGGAAGGGAGCTTAAAAACAATAACCAGTTTGTGATCAATATTGTGGTTTAGGATCATTTCACTATCTTGTAGAACAATTAGAAACATTAGCTGTACAAGGGTCTGCTTTAAACTGATTGTGTGTAGCTCTGTCTTGTTTATCTATGCTCTACTTGAAAACAGAAATGTAGATGAGTTTTAGCTATGTTTTTTCTTTCTTTCTTTTTCTGGTATTTCGAGAAAAAGTTCTTACATTGTAGTACAAGGTGGTCTCAAACTTGCAATCATCTTTCCTCAGCCTTTCTGGATGCTAAAGTTAGATATCCTCTACACATCCAGTGCTAATTATGGATTAGAACTGATTGATGAGTTATATTTGCTCGGGTGTTTCAATTCTCCATCAAGGAAATTTGATGTGATTGTTCAGCTCCATCTTTGGATATCTGATAACCCACCATAATGTCAGGCTGAAAAGTCCCTAATTTCCTGAATTCCACAGAAGAGTTACAACTGTATAGAAAATGCATGATTTTGTAGAAAAACCTAACAGGATGGAACAAGGAAACCAGAAAATGCAAGTATCTATCAATACTTGTTACTTCTACTGTTCATAACCTCCTACAGTGTTGTCTCTTCTTTCAAGTTGAGATCTGTCTCCGTTTTCTAGGGAACCTACTTTGTTACAAGGATATCAGTCTCCCTTCTACAATAGAATGGCCTTTACACCAAAGTGGTAAGAAACCTGAAACCTCATCCTCAGATGGAATGCTTCTGCATTTCCCCCCACTACACATGGACATGAATGAGAGCAGAGATAATTATGTTGCTTTAATTCCTGCTCTTCTGTGAGCCTATTTCTTTTTTTTTGGTTTTATTAGAGCCTATTTCTTAATGAAGGTCTTCTCTCTTGAGAAAAAATAAACGAATCTGCTTTAGTCTTTCTTTGTACTAAAAAACTTTATATTTTATCAGGTGAAGAAGTATCACATACTCTCAACAGGATTGTTTAGAATTCTAAACTTCTACTCTGTCTTTTAAAGAATGGATTCCACATGCTTTAAAAAGTAATCTCGACAAATAAAAAGAAAGAAAAAACAAGGATCACGAGAGACTGAAAATCTAGTTTTAAACAACTGACATAACCTTTTCTAACACTACATTCTGAGTGATAGTTCCTGTCATCTCCATCCTACTGACATATAAAGGATTTATAAACTGTTGCATTAGATAAACTAGACAAGACACTAATGTTTGATAATAAATAAAAGAGGTAGGAGCAATAAAATATGCCAAAATGCTAAAAAATAGAGAGTTCACATTTTCTTAGCTCCATTCATTTGATAAAACCTACAGAGAGCATGAAAATATTTACAATTCTAAAATTTCAGCATGTGTTAGCAGACTCTGAACCTGTCATTAAAAAATAGATCACATCCATGTAGTTTCCTTATTTACCTCAACTGTAAAAGAACAGAGGTAGCTAGTGTGAAACTCTATTACTGCATGTTCACATCATTCAAAACATTACTGTGTTCTTTTAGAGCAATAATTTTAAATTACAGTGCTTCACTGTAACTTTCTTTTTGCAAATTCACTCTGTGAAAACTTTCTGATGCCTTTGTCCCAATTTTTATATTAACAGAGAATATATGCAAAGGTATGCTGTTGTCATTTTAATGGCAAGATCCCCATGAAAGGAATCAGTTTCAAGTAGAACTTAATAACAGCAGTATCTAAGATATTTTAAGCATGTTATATGTCACAAATATAAAGCCCTTCCCATAGTGCCTGTAATCCTGTAATACTATTAAATCTTTAGCTATCATTAATATTTGCAACAAACTGTGATGTTAGTACTAACATCATGTTTTATATTTATGCACAAATCAAGAAACAGAGAGCTTATATTAGTTACACATAATCATCAGCTTTAAAGAGCCATCATTCCAACAAAGCTATGTAATTCCAGAAACAATCTCTTGAAAACTACATATTACTTCTGTCTGTGGGAAGAATGGAAAAAAATCTTCTTCCCTACTTAGAATGTAACATTTTATAAGAGTTTCTCTACAGAGATAGTTCCCCAAAATAAAATACCTACTTCACTAAATAACAATACATATATAGAGAAAGAACCATGGTTTCAATATGTCCTGCAATAAATCAAGTGCAGAGTTACACACAAGAACTAGTCAAGAGATATCATTATTTCCTCATTTTAGATGTAATTCATGAGTTTCAAGATTCATGGTGACTTACCAAGACTACTTGTAACTAGATATCTTAACTATAACTCACATGCTTTCAACAACCTATGCTACCAAGTCACATAGATGACCCATCCCATTTTGATCCATTACTATTTGGAAAACTGACTTTGTAAGGTAACTGAAAATCTTACCTAATTTCCACGAGGAAATACCCTAAAAATATTTATCATATGCTATGCACCCTTTTAGTTTTTCACATCTGAGAAATACATATCCAAGTCACTTTTCATATTTGTTTCACATCCAAAAAACACATATCAGAAATATATATATGAAATAATAAAAGTACACACCTATCTCCTAGATTCCTGAAAATATATATTATCACATCATAAAGATTTAATGGGAAGACTCTTAGTTGAGAAAGGAGTGTTGTGACATCTTTTAGCACCTACAAAGATGATGGAAAAGCAAAAAGAACCTCTAAATAAACTTCTAAATTACACAGAAGCCAAGCAAGAGATTTCATTGCAATTGCATTTCCAAAGTGTGTTCTCAAATTTGACATGTGAAGTACCCGATTTAAAATTAACTAATTTTAAATAGTTTTAATTTCATCATGACTGGTGACTTAACCAGAAAGTCAAAGTTTTAGAAATGATGAATGAAACATATATATATGTATATATATATGTATATATATATATATTCTAACCTATCCAAATATAATTTTCATAGCGCTAGAACAGAGTGAAAATAGGTACCATTACCCAGTGAATCAGATGCCCCAAAATAACTCATGAAGTTTCAAACAGAAACTCTATAATAATGCTGCTGAATTGAATGTTAAAATTATTAGGAATTTATGAACCCAAGATATTCTTTCACAGACATGCTTGTTGAGACGTAGCGAAGTTAGACACTGCAAAATGCCTCTCCTCTCTCCTCACACCCCACCCCAATTAAAAAGAAAGCAAGAAAGCACACACACGGAAGGAACACTTACAAACACATACATGCTTTGAAGGGAACTTACATCTTTTAAACGCCGTGGAACCACACATCAGGTTGCAAGGCTTCAGCAAATCAGATTTACTTGATTTGGTTTTAGTTCGGTGAGGTTTTATTTTTCCCCCCACTAAATTTTAAATGACTTCTCTAAATATCACAGACCATTCAAAGATACCGTACTTTTCTGAGCCTTCACCCTGATGGTTACGCTTGTTAGATGGGAGTCTCCTGTTTCAGCACCAAGGACAGAAATCGCCTTGCTCTCCAGGGAAAAAGAAGCACCACCACCCTCCCCCTTCCCCCAGGAATGCCAGATGTCTACTTTTCAGACAAAACCAGCAAAAAGAAAAGCTACCTGCGTCGCCTGCCACCTGTTTAAAAGTCCCCTCCCTCCCTCCCTCCCTCCCGAGAGGAACGCACCTGTAACTTGTCGGAAGAGACCCTAAACAACTCCCAGGGCTTCACGCCGCCCTGGCACATCACAAGGAGAGGCGCCCGGCGGTGTGAAAAGCTGGTGAAAAGCAGGTCACTGGCTGCCGGGCACAGATGCCCCGCGGGTTCCAGCTCAGCTCAGGCGCTGGGTGACAACTAAGGAGTGTGCAAAGCGTCAATGACTTCAGAGATGAGAGAGAGAGAGGCGCTGAGGCCTCGCCCCACGAAGGAAACACCTTCTTCCACCCCCCCCCTCCCGGCTACTGCTGGAGGGAGGGGGGAGTAGGGCGCACGGGGTGAGGAGGGGGTGGAGGGGGAGGGTTGCAGTGTTTTAGGGCTGGGGAACCGAACATCGCTCACCACTTAGGCTGTCGCTGGACCTCAGGCTCCTTCCACAGAGACACTGCAGCATATGCACTCCTTTCTTCAGAGAAAGCCCAAGAATCTTCATGGAGAGGCGCGTGTGTGGGGTTCGGCCACTCCCCGCCCACCTCCGCTAATTGTCCAACCAAAAGGCGGCCTCTCCTTGGAAGCCTGGTCCCGAGTCCATGGCGCGCGCGTCCCAGGCGCAGGGGAGCCGGCACATGGGTCGCGCCGGAGCCCCGGGGGCGCAGGGCAGGCGCGCAGCGGGCGCCGCGGCCGGGGCGGCGGGGAGGAGCAAGTGGCTCTCCTCGGCTGGGGAGACAGCCCTCCCGGGAGCCGGAGGCCCTGCCACTCCTTAGTGGGATCCGACGCGACACTTTGGGGACTTTCCGAAGGAGGGAGGGCGAGGGACCCGGCTGCGCGGAGGACGTCACCCTGGATCCCTGCCTCCTTCCAGGTGCCCGCGCCGGACGGAAAGGACAGGGGCTGGCCCTGATCCCGAGCTAGTGCGCCCCTTGGCTGCTCTCGGCGTCGGATCGAGAGCCCCCCCCCACCCCTCCACACACACACAGCCCTCCTCCCCGCCCCCCCACACACACCCCGGACGTCCGCCTGCCTCGGTGTCCCCGCGCTCGGCCCTCGGAAGGGGATTGGCGCGGGCAGGGCTGTGCGGCTGAGCCCGCCGGAAGGCAGCGCTCCCGCGGGCCGCCCGCGGAGCCAGGGCGACTCCAGCGTGGGAATCAGGCGGAAGAGAAGCGCCCGCAGGAAGGACTGGACCCTGGAGGCTGCGGAGCGTCAGAAGCCACCACTCTGGGGACTTGAGGTGGGGGCAGGGAAGCAAGGCTGCGGGATCAAGAGAGCGCTCTCCTCTCCTCCCCCCGCCTCTCTAAGTGGGGTAGAGCCTAGGCCGAGCACTGATAGAGGAGTCCGCATTCCTGGATGTTCTCTATGGGCTCTGCGACCTTGGGTAAGTCACTTTCCACCTCCGGTGTCTCTCCATAAATCTGGGCAGAGGGAAAGGGGTGGCCAAATAAGGGATTGGCAACTCTGCAATGGTTTGTCCACTGCTTTCCAGTCTCCTGGGGGTGGGGGGGGATGCCCAGCACAGGTGCAGTGGGAAGTGAGGTTCAGAAGAAAATGCCAGAGTGAACAGAAGAGCCAGTGGAGGCAGGCAAGTCTTAAGATTAACAGCGCTTCACTTTGGTGCTGTTGTATTCTGGCATTCTGTGTATTCTGGTGAGCTCTGCCTAGGCCAATAGGCCCAGGTGCCCAAGAGTGTCTCCAAGGTTTAGGGGCTGGATGGTGATGTCTTCCCCCTCTTCCTAGCCCTAGACACTTGGGCATCCCTCCCCCATTCCCAGAGTCTGTCAATGCCAAGTAGGAACTTAGATGAGTGCAGCACATAAAGCATGCTCTCCACGAGACAGGATGTTACCCTACATGGAGTCTTCGTGAAAAAAAATAAAAGGATCTTCAAGGACACAGAGAAGTTCAGCACCTGTAGGGACTGGTCACCGAAATGAAAACACCTACTTGCTGTAAGATCTTAAACAAATGACTTAGGTAGTTGGCTTCAGGGTTTTTGTGTTGTTTCGTTATGTTTCGTTTTTAAGAGAAAGTTAATGATAACACTTATCTCATGTGGCCCTGTGAAGTGTGTGTGTGTGTTTTTTAAAGGCACAGGTTACAAAGTGTTAGAAGAGTGGTAGTAACTATTATTATTAGTATTTAGCCTCTTCCTGTAGGGTTTTGGATCACTTTCGAGAATACAAGTGTCCATACTAGTGTCTGAATGTCCACGGGAACTGGCTAGGTGATGGAGAATTCCGCATCTTCCCAGGTAGTTAATTGCATAAAAGGTGTTAGGCTTATGCTAACCCTGACTTTGACTCTCTGTTTTCCACCCATTGCCTTCAGGCTACCTATCACTAATTTATTTTGAACTGCGAGGGAGTCAAAATGGTTTTCACCAGCCCTTTCCTCTTCTTTCTAGGCAAACTCTGCACTGGTCCTTTGATATTTTCTCAGAGTGGAAGTTGCCTTGATGAAGTGTCTTCCTTTCAAAGATGGCAGAAGAAAATCAGAGTCCATGGAAGGCCTCTTGAACCCACAGCCACTGCTGGCTCCACAAACTCAGCTCCTTTCAGCTCAGAGCTCCAGTCAAGGCCTTTCAGGGTGGTTGCAAGGCTCCATAAGGTATCTTCACAGTCCTGTCCACCTCCATTGTTCAGTGAGATCTCCAAAGCTCAGTGGTCTTCAAGATCCTTGAAGGCCTTAGGAAAGCCATCATTCAGTCATCACTGAGGAGAGGGTGAGGGCAACAGGGACCCAGCCCTCTGCTTCCTCACCTCTGCAGGAATTAGTGAGAAAATTGGCTCATTTGGGATTCTACCCATAGAAATTCCCAAGGGAGGCGGAGACAATTAGCCAAAGGAAAACATCTAAAAATAATCCTTTGTGCTGCAGCAGAAGATAGTTTTCCGGTAGAGCTCTCTCGGTCTGGAATCCACAGCCAAGAGCTACTGCTGTACTCTGGGAGCTGTGCTATTCTTTATGAACTTGAAAATGAGTAGGATGCGGCTTTGTTTCCCTCAATGGAACCTGAGCATAGTGAGCAGGTCCACGCATAATCTTAAAACACATATGGCCTCCGTGAGCACCCATGTTCGTGTTTAAAGTGCAACTCTGCTTCCCTGGCAAGGTTGTCCCAAGGATTCCAAGAGGTGAAGCAGGGGAAATGCTTTGAAGAGTCTAATTATCTTTGCATAAGGTGCAATTACCTGGGTCTATGAGTTCTGGGTGTTACACTATTAAAGGCTAACATGGAGGGTATTTTATTTGATTATAGAAGGATCTAAGTTTCAGCATTAAATATGAAGACAATCTTAGGCATATAAGTATTAGGTAACTTCTGATTCCTCAACGAGATCAAAATCCCTGAGAAGACAGATCAGGAAAGTCAGTGCCGCCAGGTACTCAGCCAACTGTCTTGTCAAAACATTGCCAAAGTGATTCTTATGACAGGGAGGATTCATCTCAGAGAAAGTGGACCACCACTTTGCCCTTTGTTATTATTTTTGTTATTTTTTTTGTTATTGTTGAGCTCAGAAGTCCACTGAGCCAAAGAACGTTAGAACGCAGAGATATATCCTTAATATACATTGTCCACATTTGATGTATGTAGGCCCAAAAGGATAACGAATTTTTTGAATCCAACATTTTCTTCTACCATCCAGAACTTCAGTGTGCATGCTTCAGGACACAAGCAGCTCCTTCCCAGATTGTCATTTGTTTCCACATTTAGATACCCAAAGTTCAGTCTTCCTATAGCACCCTGAGTAGGAGCATTCATTTTTTACATGCACCGTAAAAGACAAAAAACAACATGAAAGATTTTAAAAAATGAAATAGTAGTCACTTTCAACTTCTCTACCTTTTGCGTGTTACTCCCTACACAAAATCAGGATGTTTAATGGAAAGATTACACTTTATTTTAAACCTAAGACAGTATGGTGTTACTGGCTTAAATTTTAAATCATATTAGTTGTCTCTCACGAATTTTATTTTTAAATCTAACTATTCTTTCTGTTACTTAATTGACCTAGACACCTTGGCCAAGTAGGTTGGCAAGTAACTCACAGCATGGTTTCACAATGAAATAATTTGGTACTTTTAATTTTTTTTCTTTGTCACAAAGCCTCCCTACATAGCACAGAACTCCTAATTCAGCCTCCTGTGTACTGCCTTACAGGCATGCACCACCACACCTGGCTTAGCATTTTTTGCAGACTGTAAAGTCTTGTACACACTGGTAGTTAAACTTGCTTAAATTTTGAATACCTAAATTTTTATTTTTAATAAAATAATTTTCTTCTCAGTTTGTCAGAATTAATCATTATTCAGAAATTTTTAAACAGTGGCTTATTTAGACTTTCTCTTCCTACCAAATATACTCTTGGCATTGGTTGTTCACTTAATTGATGCATTTATTGGTTTGACAGCCTACATATAATCAGTAATAATCTATTCAAAATGTTGCCAGTTCCTCATACATTTAATGAGAATATTCATAGCAAACTGTTTACTGACTGGAACAGCTTTGGTTTCAGAAAGAGTTGTTTGATGTGAGAAATAGGAAGTCAATCAATTCAAGATCAGTTTTGCAGCTGGGCACCAGTGGCTCACGCCTGTAATCGTAACTACTCAGGAGGCTGAGATCTGAGAATCACTGTTCAAAGCCAGCCCAGGCAGGAAAGTCCATGAGATTCTTATCTCCAATAAACCACTAGAAAACTGGAAGTGGCCCTGTGGCTCATGCGGTATTGTGCTCGTCTTGAGCTGAAGAGCTGAAGGATAGCACTCAAGCCCCACAACTGGCAAAAAAAAAAAAAAAGCAGTTTTGCATTAGTCAAAATTAATTTGTCTCTCTTCTATTTTTGTAGTGCTGTAGTTTGAACTTGGGGCCTTAGACTTGCTGAATGAACATGCTACTGCTAAGCCAAGCCTCCAGACCTGCTTTTGCTGATTATTTTAAAGATATAGTCTCACCTCCTGCTCAGACTTATGCCTGAACCTTGATTTGCCTGTTTTAGAATTCCCATCATTGCTGAAAACACAGGTATGCACCAGTGAATCCAGGCTCCCTACAGCTAGAAAGGACTCTCATGGACATTTCTGCCTAATGTAGTGCCTGGAAAAGTTTTCTGCCTTGGTTTGCCCTGAACTGTGATCTTACTATTTATTCTTTGGCTCCCAGCTAGATAGGATTATAGGTGTGAGCCTTGGGCACATTGCTGGAATTAATTTCTCAATGGGTGGTCACAGCTCTCTATCCAGCACCTACACACTTCTCTGACCCTAAAACTCTCATGTATTTTTGGAGACACTACCAGAAAAGCCACAATGATCTCTCCATGCTATCTCCCCACTCTGCCACAATAAATCACAATTTCTTCTAATCTCCCACAGTGCACTATAGTTATTCTATCCCTGTATTTCATTCTGACCACATATAAATATTTTCCCTAAAAGGAAAATGACTTCTTTTACCTATACATGTTGGAATTCATGTAAATATCATTTTTATGTCAGTATAGAAAATGTAATACATGACTTAGTAAATATTTAATTCTGACAAACTTGACATAAAATAGAGACTATTTGTGGGTTTCTCATTGGAGGGAAACATTAACATCAAAGTGAAAAGTAATAAACCACAAAAAAATGAAAAATGAGGATGTAAGTTATA